GATGGAGCATGAGCTAGTATCAAAAGGCCACAGCCCTCACCCCAAACACAAAGGAATGCAAGATAAAGTCATATTAAAGTCCTATAAATATATTGCTGAGCTCAAAACAAAGAACGGCATTTTCTAGGTGCTAAAGATAAATTGGGACTGAAGCCATGAGACCCCTAGAGGTACCAGGACCAGATCTGTATCTGGCAGGCCTCTGGGGAGCCAAAGGTGGCCAGTCTGACCTCAAGCACTGTTACCTGAAGTTGTAGCCAGGGTACAAGGACTCACTGGTATTCTTGTCGTCAAGACGTCGGAAACTGTATTTTGGACGGCAGTGATGGAACCAACTGTCCAGGTTGCAGTCCCAGTTGATCTCAATGCCCATGATTCCCCCCTGAGGAAGACAACAAGAAGCTATCTCTAAGTCCTGCTGGGCGTGGGGTGCAGCTACCAGACATCTCCTTGTATAGCGATGATCACTGAAGGAAAGGACTTACATGCTTCTTCAGCCACCCCATCCTCCTCAATTCAAGGTGACCTTTTTCTCCTCTGAACACCTAAGGAATCTCTTCCTTTTTACAAACATATTTTGAGCACTGACTATCATATTTCATTGAATCTTACTTCACTGAATCTTAGACACTATTGCTTGTAAGACATAATTTTTTTTATCTTCCTCTAAGAAGAAAATGCTGTCAATTAAAATGTGAGACTCCATCAGTTGAAATCACCTCCTGATTTCAGAACTATCAGAATGTGAAAAAATGTCTTTGAATCATGAAATATGGCGTTTCGAGACAGTATGCTAGAAGCTAGAGATAAAGCGATGTGGAATTGGCAGCCTCTGACTTGGAGAAAGGAAAAATAATACAGGATAATCACAATTGTTATTTATTGCCAGGCACTAAACCAAGCACTCTACATATTATAGTGACTATCTAATGTTTTTGTCATTCATCATCCAAAGAGCCAGGAAATGCAAGGAATTTAGCTCTGGAGGTGGAAAAGGGGAGGAAATGGATTCTCCCGCTGGAGCCTTTGGTGGGAGCCTCACCCTGTTGCTAACCTGATTTCAGCTCAGTAAAACTGACTTTGGACTTCTGATCTCCAGAAGTGTAAAAAAAAAATGTGTGTTGCCCTGCCTGGGTGGCTCAGTTGGTTAGAGTGTTGCCCCAATACACCACAATTTGAGTAGACATTTCTACAAAGAAGGTACACAAATGCTTAGTAAGGATATGTAACATGTTCAATATCTCTAGTCACTAGGGAAATGCAAATCAAAAGCACAACGAGATACTTCACCCCACTGGCATAGCTATAATCAAAACAGACAATTAAAAAGATGGCAAGGGCACATACAAGAATCAACCAATGAATGCATAAATAAGTGGAAAGGCAAATCTCGCTCTCTCTCTCTCTCTCATAAATAAATAAATACATAAATAAAAATTTTTAAGCAACCAAGTTGTGGTCACTTATTAAAGCAGCCTCAGGAAATTAATGTACCAAGTATCTCACGCCTGGGATTGTTATGAAAGTACTTGGCATCATGGATGGATTTACTAAATGCTCAATAAAGGGAACCATATTATTAAGACCC